TTCGAACCTGGTGAATGTTGGAGGTCCTCGATGTTGATGATGCTCTAGCTGTATTGGCACCAAGCATTGATGATAATATGATATGGAAATTATGATACCCCAGTCATTGTGGAAATCAAGCAAGTTTGGACCAAATTTACCCCACTAAGGCTCTTGGGGGTGACGTGATGAGTGATTTGTTTTTCAAAAAATGCACATCATTGGTAAGGATGTGTCTTCATTAGTGCTGGATATTTTAAATGCTGATATATTTCAGTTTTCCCCATCGTTTTTGCCACCTATATTATCAATATTCCCAAGACAAAGAATCCTAAAAAAATGAATGAGTTTAGACCCATTAGTCTATGCAATGGCATTTACAAACTTGTAGCAAAGGTAATGTCAAAAAGGTTGAAAGGTGTTGACAATTAAAAAGAATTGAGACGAAGAATAATAATATTGCATCCTCATTGCACCCAAAGCAATTCTCATTCGTTATGCACAAACCCAAACTTTCATTATGCACACAGAGCAATTATCATTGCTTGTGTCCATTCCTCGTCATTATCACCAGTCAATTTGACTTAGGTGATGTGACTCTGGTTTATCAACAGAACACCACTTTTCCTCTTCTTTGGGCAGTTTGATATTTCCATCAATAAACCCAATTTTTTCCTTTAAACAAAGAGCAATTCTCAATGCCAGCACTCATTCTCCAAAATTATGACCAATTAAGTTAACATCGGTGGCATAAAATTATGGGGTATTCCCAGCTCGTATGGAGTGAACCCCATCTTTTCTTCTATTTCTTTTTATTTTTCCATTGCAGCATGGCCAGCATCCTTTGTCACCATCAACATGCAGCAATTCCTTTTCTTATTTCTCTTCCTCTTCTATGGCTGACTATTGCCTCCGACTATGCCTTGTCTCTTTTTTCTTCTTTTTTTTAAGATTGGGATGAGTACAGGGTCATAAGACATTTAGGTCAATGTTGTATTAATCCATTTTTCATTCTCTAGTTTTATGATACGGGATACTTAAACACTCCCGTGAGTGATATCAAAACAATCTAACAAAAACGTAACGTGAAAGCATTTTGATTAAAATATAGTATCGTGACGCTACCAAAATGCTGGGCCAAACACCCTTCGAGACAAAAAAAAGTTGGTTCATATACGACCATGGCCATAAACAAGTGCAAGCAGTTCGACTGAATTCTGTGCCAAACTAACATGAATTCAAACTCTTTACTCTAAAAAACATGAGTTACCCCCTCACAATCCTCTCGGTCTGGGGTGTGGGGGCGCCCGGGTTGGGAGTTCCACTTTTACTCTAAAAAACATGAAATGGAATTTGAGAGTGGAAGTACAAATAACTAAAAAAACACTCACATACAAAATGCAAATTGAAAGCCCTTCACCTTGTTTAGTAATCTGAAGATAATTAAACAAATTCACCTTGTTTAGTTATCAGATTACTCGAGTGGGAGCCAGATGAAGAATATGAATCCATGGTTCCTACTTCCTAATGTTCCGGTTAATTATTTAATGGCCGATCATATACGACAGGATGAAATGCCAGGCTCGCGAATATTAAAAAACATGGAACTGGAAATTGTGATTTGAATTGAATCTGCGAAATTATAGATTTCTACTAAAAATCTAAAATTATGCAATTTGAGAAAAGAATGAGCAGGTATAGAAATTACAGAGTGGAATAGGTTGCAGCAGAGCACTTAACGACGATGGCACTTCCCGCCGAGGAGTTCTGCGGGACGGAAAAAATGAAGCGATCAGGCAAACTGCTGCGGTGATATGTGATGCGGACGGAGCAGGAGGGAAAAACTACACTACATAAATACTCCGTACATAAATACTCCGTAGGTATGCGCATAAAATTTTAATCCTTTAAACTATTGGGTATATTGTGTTTGTGTTTACATGTTTGATCGACTTTATTTTCAATTTAATTTATTTGATTGTACGTGTAAAATTAAAAAATAAAATTTATATATAAAAACTACATCAAAAGTTCAATAAAACAAGAGGTGACAAGACTATATTATTTTATTAATTAACTAACAAAAATAGGTAAAGAAAGTGATTTAAGTTTGACCGTGTAAATAGTAACTAGAAAGATAGTTTTATGACGGGAAGAGTACTACATTTCCTTCCAATTTCTTCCCACTGTTCTCGTTTTTTCAAACTCTTTCTACTCCCGAATTAATTACTCTAAAAATGATATATTTTTAATGTGATTATTGTTGTTGTTGTTGTTGTTCATAACTATAGTTTACAAATTATTATCTATGTTCTAGCGTATTTGTCCACTTTGACTTTTTCTAGTCAAACTAGACAAATTTTAAACTTCTATTACTCTTAACTTGTATTGCATATTGGTACAATCAAATAAGATTATGAAAGTTCTCTATTAGATATTACTCCGTAATAAAAACTTCCTTAAAAAAGGATATTAATAAAAACATTTTTACACAAATACTCCATATACATTACAACTTTTGTTTAATTGAAGTTCAAAGTTCACTCTATTTGATTCAAAAAAGTCAATCTGGACAAACACACTAGGACATAGAGAGTTTTTTATCATCTCACTATTTTTAAGATTCACACTCATTGTTTTTTTTCTTCAACTTTTTTATATGAATAAGACAATTTTTTTGTATACTAATCTAAATGATAAAATAGGAAAATATCAATATTTTAAACTATATTTAAAAATTATGAATAAAATAGTTACATAAAATGTTTTATTGGAGTATAAGACTTATCACCTTTCCCTTTATTACTCAAGACTTTCTAATTTTTATAAAAAAAAATAGAAACTCAAAATAGTTTAGAGAAAAAAACTAAAATAAGAGTAAAATATAAAAAATGTAAAAATAAGTTCTATGTCTTCATTCCAAATATAGGACTTACAATGAAAATAAAATGTCAATAATGAAAGAAAAAATAAGTTTGATTATATTATGTGGCATGTCTGATATTTATAAAAAAATCTTGTAAGTTATAATTACAAAAATAATATTTATAATAAATACTGCATAAATAAATTGAGATGCAACGTAACCACAAAAACTTTTTAAAAATTAATTTTTGATATTTATGCTAACTTTATATTATAATTATTTTTTGCAAAAGTAATTTTTGTATTTGAAAAATAACAATACTTTTTTTATCTTCAAGGCATTAATTAAGATAACGTGATGATTATGATGATCATAATAATAATAATAATAATAATAATAATAGTAATAATAATAATAATATAATGATAATAATTTATAACAACAAGAATTAGAATCAGAATAATATAAAAACACAGTAAAATAATTTTTTTAAAGTTTTTTAGGTTTTCCCATTTTTTAAAGATTTTCTAGTTTTTTCTCGGTCTTCCAGTTTTTTCTAGTTTCTTCCCGTTCCTTGCAGTTTTTTCTAGTTCCTTCCAGTTTCTTGCAACATCCAGCTCTTTTTTCGGTATTAAAGAACAGACTCTAAGTAAAAAACGTCATATGTAATGTAAGTCATTTGAGCTGATTTGATTTACCTATCTAATTTTATTATGCATGTTCTTGAGCTGACTTGATTTATGTGAGAAGATCCATAAAAAATAACATGCACTCAAGATGTATCATAGAAGCACGCTGAAAAAAAAAGTTGGATGTTAAAAGAAATTAGAAAAAAATTGGAAAAACCGGAAAAAAAACTAGAAAAAATTAGATTGAACTAGAAAAAAATAGAAAATCTAAAAAAAACTTTTAAAAATTGTCATTATTATTAATTTAGTGTTAAAATTTATTATTATTATTATTATTATTATTATTATACTCATAATCATGTTATATTAATCATGTTATATTATTATATTCATAATCATGTTATTACATAATTAGAAGAAATTGGAAAGAATTGGGAGAAAATAAAAAAAGAGAAGGAACTCAAAGAAAACTAGAAGTTAAGAGTTTAAGATCTAAAGAACAAACTCTTAGTGTATGATAATCTGGTCAAATTTGATTAAAGTTAAGTACTTATATTTAGAGTTTGTTCTTTAAAGCTTAAGACCCGTTTGGGAATAACATTTTCAATTAACGTTAGCGTTTTGGATAAAAAAAATTATAGTGTAGATTAACTTTGAAAATATTAACGCTTAATGATGTCCGTAGATAGTGTTTTCAAATGTCAACGCTAACCTCAGATACTATTTTCAAACATGCCCTAAAACTCTTAGTTTTTAGTCTTTTTTCAGCTTTTTCAATATTTTTTAATATTTTCTAGTTTTTTTCGTTCTATTTTAATATAAATAATATCAAGTGCAATTTGTAGGATCGATTTTTGGAACTTCCGAGTGGGTCACCCATCCTGGGGCTACTTTTGTTCCAGCACGCTTAACTATAGAGTTTTAAAGTTAAAGAGGCAACTTATTTTGGGATGGAGAAAAAAGGCAAACAGGCAATTTAAAATGGGACAGAAGGAGTAATAATTGTACCACTCTCTTTTTACCTAGATAAATGGCATGCACATAATTCACGTGGTCAAATTTATTTACATAAAATAATGCTAGAGTCACAAACAAACCGTTCACAAAATTCATAAACTTGTTTTTTTTACATTTTTCTAGAAAATAAGATGTACTCAAATCATAAAAGTTTTTTTATTTTAAAATTCACAAAAGGTAAATTTGTGAAGTTTATGAACTATTTGTTTGTGACTCTAGCATTTTCCTTTCCTATAAAATAGACAATAAGAATAGTAATAAGTTGAATTGGAGTAAAGCATGTTAGTATAGTGAGAAAAAAGTCATCCCAAACTTTTTCATAAGAGTACTGAGTCCTACTCTTACGTTTAGGCTTTTCGTTCGGTGCCCTCAATACATGGAGCATGACACGTGTACCCGATTCCACATACAATACGGAGTAGTATATTTTTGTTTATTACAATCAGGCCCAGGTCAAAAATTAAATTATTGAGTATTTCTTTGGATCTACCGTTTCCCATCTTCCGTTAACATCTGCGCCGTCTCCAACATCTCTTCGTTTCTGCATCGCCGTCTCCCTCCAACATCCTCTCCATCTTCAGCGTTCTCTTTGCTGGAATCAGAAGCCGCCCGCTGCCGACCTTCCTCTGTCGTCCCTAGGTCGGATCTCATCTCCAAAATTAGGAATGAATCTCCCAGGTTTTTTTCTTCTAATTTTCCATTAGCCCTAGATTGGTGCTCCTCTCTTTACGTTCTGGCTTTATTTTTCTGGTTTTATTCTACTTATTTTTTTGGTTCGAAAATGCAATTCTTATGAGTCTACAAGTAATTGTGTTCCAGAGTGTAATTTTCTTGTTTTAATAATGTCAATTTGTCATTTTGAGTTTGATTTGCAGCATGATTTAGTATAAAAAAAGTATCTGTGATGTCATATGTTGTGCCGAAATATCTCTGTAATTTTTTTTTGTTTTTTTGTTAAATATTACTCTTGATTTTGGTTAAAAAGAACATACATGAGCAGTATAATGAAGGTTTAGAATTGAACATCAAATGGCTAGTCTAATGATACCTCAGATAGTTAGTTCAGTGCTCTCAAAAGAAATAGTTGGTTCTGTGATATCATGAAGGTTTTTTTTTAAAAATTGTTTACCTATCATTTGTAAAAATAACAATCTAAAACATTCTCAGTTGTGATTAATGACATTTAAACTCTCCTAGGTACAGGAGATTTCTAGATTTGTAAAAGCTAACTTTTTTAAAATCTTAGACCTTTGAGCTATGACATTACATTGGACCTTTATTCAGATTTTCAAGGGATGCACTATTGTGCACTTACCAGTTACCACCCTAATATATATTGATGTTAGTACCTTGAAATAAACTTGTCTTCTTACTTCTAGAGACATTAGTATGTTTTTATGCCATTTTTTGTGTAAATTAGTGATTTTATTTCTTGTACACCTAGTTCAATGGCTAGTAATGATTCCATATATCCCTTTCATTTGTGTCTTAGGTCAAATTGTCACTACTGACTCTTGAGACTTGGGGTCTTGATTCCATATATCCTTTCATTTGTGTCAGACTAGCCTTATAATATAATCCCTCTTTTAGTCTCCATTCAAATGATTAGACATGACAAAGGATTAAATATGTTGTTTATTTTTTTTTAGGTATGGCAACCCGTGGTTGCCAATTAAGACCTCAAACCACAACAGCCACCCCCACCCCAAAAATGTACTCCATCAAAAGGGAAGAAGAAGAAAAAAAGAAAAGAGGGAGAATAAACAAACCACCAAACCTATAGACCAATTTACCTGTTTCTTTATTGTTCATTTCTTATTATTCTTCCTTTACCTTCTTCAATTTATAAAGAAAGATGAAACTTAATTTGTGTGCTTGTAGGTTTTTTTTTGTTATTTTGTGTCTCCCCCCTTGACGCCACTTAAAGAAAGAAAGTTTGAAAAGCCAATTAGCTTACAATATAATAATCCCTTAAATAATCAAGAATGGAATGCAAGGTTGAAAAGAACACATACGACTGTTAATGTAATGGACATATAAGACTGTTACTTTGATACAATGTTAAGAAGAACATATACGACCAGTCAATGTTTAGGAAGTCCCCATCACTTCTGAGGACTTCCGAGGAAAGTTGAGGCTCGGGTTTGAGTTAGATGATAAGTAAAATAATAAATCACAATCCCGTTCCGTTAGATGCTTCGATAATGCCCATAAATGTTTTGGGTCAATTAAGACTGTTCAAATTAAAAAAATTGAGTGAAATTTAATAATTAATACTCACACAGGCAGAGATGGAGAGAGAGAGCCTACTCTTCATCTCCAGAAGAACCAACTGACTCCATTTATGGAGTCCTTCTTGTCTGCACAGTAGAGAGGTCACGGCATAGAGAAAGTATTTCACCCATAGTCCACTGAGATCCATTACTTGGTGATTAGAAAGGAGTAGCTATCCCACTTTCAGTTGTCTTCTTATGCCGGTCTAGCTGTTCACTAAATAATACACTAATATCTGCAACAAGCTGAGAGTTTCCAGTGGGCTTAAACGCAATTCCTGGCACTTCATTGTTCCTTGGAGAGTCAACATCTGAATCATCACCTCCAAAAGCCTGCATTCAATAAACAAATTCACCTTTAAAAAAATTTCTTATTTTTATGCTGACTCGGCCTTCGGTGTTGATATTCAGCATGGAAGATAGAGTGTTTCCCAGGTACCAGGTTTTGAATCTTCTCATGGCCAAAAAGCTTCTGAACAAAGAACCCAGTTTTGTTAATGCCTTTTTTTTGCCAGACGCAGAGTTTCTAGGGAAATATTATGCAAGGATTATACATAATAGAGGCTTTAATATGTTGCTTAGTTTTTTTAGGTACACCAACTGGTTGCCGATGACTGTTTTTTTGAACTCTAAGTGCGATGCAGATTCTGGGCAATTGACAATATATTAAGAGTTGCTAAAGCGCTACATAGACGTCGGTCTAGCATCAATCAACAAAGAGGGGAATATGGAATACTCATGTTGGATGGGAGACATTCTCCTCTATATAGATTTTGCCAGCAATATACACATTCAGCTAGAGGATATAACTCATTTACGGCTTATAACATTAGAAGTGGTCTATACAACAATCTCCTTAAAAAATTTCAGGCCATTTCAGCAAATAAAGCTGTTGCATGTAAACGCCAGACTTCTCGCCCCATAAGTAGAATTGCTCAAGCAGTTATTTTGTCCCTGACCCGCTCACATGTCATTCTTCCTGGAGTTTTTTCCGTATTATGTGGAAGAAGTGTTGCATTGGCACGGGCGCCTCCTGACACGGATTTCATCCGCCCCAGAAATACACTGTATATGCATGCTCAAGACAGCCATGCTATCTTCAAGCAGCTGGTCCATTCAATATTTGAAGGTTTAGTTTTATTGTTAAGAGGGATTTATTTGACAATACTCTTTACCCCGAGCATAACAATGGCTCCATTTGCTGATGCTTTTGGACCTCGCTTCCGTAAACTATGGCTTGAAGTTATTCATCGGACCCTCGAAAGAGCCGGACCAGCTTTTATAAAGTGGGGCCAGTGGGCAGCTACACGCCCAGATCTGTTCTCTAGTGATTTATGTACTCAACTTTCAAAGCTTCATACCAAGGCCCCAGAGCATTCATTTGCTTATACAAAGAAAGTGATTGAGAAAGCTTTTGGTCGTAAAATTTCAGAAATTTTTGTCGATTTTGAGGAAACACCTGTAGCATCTGGGAGTATAGCTCAGGTGCATCGAGCTACTTTGAAGTATCGGTATCATGGTAGGGAGATCAAGCCCATTGATGTGGCTGTTAAAGTTCGACATCCCGGAGTTGGTGAATCTATTAAAAGAGACTTTGAAATTATTAATATGTTTGCTAGAATGTCGAAGTACATTCCTACTTTAAAATGGTTGAGATTGGATGAAAGTGTCCAGCAATTTGCAGTTTTTATGATGTCCCAAGTAGATCTTGCAAGGGAAGCTTCCCATCTGAGTCGTTTCATTTATAATTTCCGGAGATGGAAGGACGTGTCTTTTCCTAAGCCTGTTTACCCACTTGTGCACCCTGCAGTGTTAGTAGAAACCTTTGAGCAAGGGGAATGCGTCTCTCGTTATGTTGATGGGATGGAGGGGAATGAGCGACTTAAGAGTGCTCTTGCTCACATTGGGACACATGCACTTCTCAAAATGCTTCTGGTAATATATATTCTTTGTTTACATGGGTCAATATTCAGTTACTTTGATGCAATAAATAGCTAGTTTAATTTCCACCTGCCTTAATGACAATAATCCTTAAGTTTCATGCCTTAGTTTGCTGCTTCTTTTTTCGCTTGTTTTGAAATGTCCCCTTTTCTATTTGTTATTTTTCTGTACTAGGAAAAATCATCAATTCAGGCGGTATATGAAAAGTGGTATATCAAAAGTGAATAATGTCATCACTATACCATATTTCTGTGATAGAAGTGGCTTCTGAAATATGAATTTCTTCGTCCAGGTAGACAACTTTATGCATGCTGATATGCATCCTGGGAATATTCTAGTAAGGGTACCTCAGAGCAAGTCATCTCGAAGGCGTATCTCCAAAATGAAGCCTCATGTCATTTTCCTTGATGTAGGCATGACTGCTGAACTCTCAAAAAATGACAGAGGAAATTTACTTGAATTTTTTAAGGCTGTCGCTTCCCGAGATGGTCGTGCAGCAGCTGAAGCTGCATTGAGATTATCAAAGAAGCAGAACTGCCCCAACCCAGGGGCTTTCATTAAGGTAATATTTTCGTCAACTAAGAACTCTTTTAATTCAGGTGTTTAAGTTGGATTGATTAGATTAGTAGGACATTCCAACACCCTTTGGGTCACAGGGTCCAGATGACCTTGCCCCTGAAAAAACAGGATGGTTTTTCCGTTCGACTGTTGATGCATTGCTGCATTTACTACCTCAAACTTCATAGAATGTAAGAAGCTAGGGAAGTTTAATTTGCCATTTTGATTTAGTCCATTATTCACCCAAGGCTCGTAGCTAAAACATTGCCAAATATTGACTCTTTTAGGTCATGACTTTAAGGGTATGGTTGTTGGCAAAAGATTGTTGTTTCATATGTGAATTGATGATGAATATATACTGCATATTATTTTATTGTTTGAAGAAAAAGATGCATTGACTGCTGCATCACAAATAGAGCATGATGGATGCTGTTTTTGTGAAATGATTAACTTAATAATAGTGTTGTGTTTGAATGCTGCTGGTAACAGGAGGTCAAAGAGTCTTTTGATTTTTGGGGGACACCAGAAGGTGATGTAGTCCACCCTGCTGACTGCATGCAT